CTGTGGATTCCTTTTGCTCCTCTGTACACAGAGGATGGCCTCCTGCCCTCTCTGATGCCTTGACTTTTCCAGTGACTGCTACTTTCTGCCAACTCTTTCCTAGTATTAACTCAGCAATCAAAGCTTTTTCTTCCACTATCCCACCCCAGATAAGCCCTACAAAACTGCCTGTTCCTGGGAGGAGAAAGAAGCTAGGAACCAACTCTGAAAAGCTCAGACAGCCTGGAAAAAACACAAACAAGCTTCTGGAGCTATAAGGAACCCAAAGCCAAGTGCTACAACAGGGAAGCCTGTGGTTGATCAGCTCTGTAGAGCAAAACATTATAAAACACTTCAAGGGACATGAGGAGAAGGCAGCCAGCAAAAACAGCAACAACAAAAAAATCAAAGCAATGCCTTGAAGTCTTTATGGGTTCCAAAAGCTCCACATTGCTGCCAATCTGTGTGCTCACTATACTGTAAATACACACAGATTTTGGGAGAATTCACTTCAGACAGTTCTTTCAGTCCAAGTATCTTGGCAAACAAGTCAACAACATTTGTCTTTTTTCCTGGTTTTGCTTCCAGCGTAAAGGGTCTCCCTTCATTATAAGTGATCAAATGTAATGAATGTGCTGCCAAACWTATCAGCTTGGATGGAGGGAGAGGGTGGAGAGAGCAGAACTATTGGTGATATGGCAGTCCACCATCTGCAGTCACTCCCGTTACTGGCTTCAGCACAAATTTCAGTAATTTATAAATATTTGAATGTTCAAATGTGCTCACATTACTGCCTCAGACCCCATCCATCTTTCCTTAACAACAACACCAAAGTCATCTATAGAGTGGAGGATAGACTACTGTTAACTAAGGATATTRGGGATATCGTGAAAATTAAATGTTGGAAAACATCCAGAATGSCTAGATACATCATGGTAGTACCTGCTTTGGAAAAATCAAGAGCAAGGTTATGTGCAGGCATTTCTGCAAGGGACTCGCATCCGATGCCAAGAGGCCACTGCTAACATGACTGACATGCAACATTTGTGGCAAAAGTGCCAAATTCTGGCAGTTCCATGACACAAACTGAAGCATTAGAGATATATTACTGCTGAAGACAAACTTCCTCCTTCACCTTTCACACATCCTCCAAACCCAACAAAGTTACATCAAAAAACTTGAGCAATTAGCCATACTGTTACTTTACCCAAGCTCCCTTTTYCCTGTGATGCCTGGAAGAACTGCAWACTCCACAGCACTTGATTCACATTTAGCACTGCTATTCCAGAACAAGCTTTCTCACCACAGGGGTGCCAGTACTGCCAGGTAACCTCAGAGCAAGAGGTCCTCGTTCCCCACCCCCAAAGCCACAATATTTTACAAAGTGCCTTAACCAACCTTTACAGAGAGCAGCCTTGTCTTGTCACCTCCCTCCTTTCAGACCAGGGAACAGAAGGGATGCTCTGACTAAAATACAGAATGTTTCCCTTCCACAGCCCATGGGATGAATGAAATAGGGAAGGTCTCACAAAGGCCCCTGCACAGAGCCAGCCCCATGCAGGGCTCGACAGCTCTCGCAGCCAACGGGGACCCCTGGCCTGCACAAATCTCTTCCCAGACTGAAAATGTCTCAGCTTGGAAGGCCATAAGCTCATGTGAGAAGCAGTGAGCAGGTCTCATCASCAGCACTGCCCCTCCTACCCAGCACGACAAACATTATCTCTTTCAGTCCTGCTCTAGGCCAGGGTTATTTTCACTGGCCGAGGCTCAGGCAGTGCAGCCTGACTGGGAACAGCCTCTCCTAAACACAGCACCACAATGACACAGTGGCATGGACACAACAGCTACAGTGATTGCCACACCTGCTTCTGCCCAGAGAAGAAAGGCCCTTCATTCCCTTTCTTCCAGGATCCACACCCCAGCAGAAGGGAAGTACTACCCGAGCAGGACAATTATGGCACAGGCCAGCACTAACAGTTCAAGAGGAATAAGGTTTCACASTGGTTACAGGAGCAAAGCCTCTCCCAGAATTAGGCAGTTACTGGGATAAGGCACCATCCTCACAGGTCAGAGCTCTGTGGGCTTTGACAGCACTTTGGGTAACCAGAACGAAGAGTTCTCAGCAGGATTTTTTTTTCCCCTCTTTGATGCTTCATCCAAATACAATGTTTACAAACACACAGAATCATTCCTGCCATAACAGACCATGACCTGAAAGGGCTGAAGGGCCCCAAGCAAGGGACATAAGGGACATTCAAMAGAGCTCTCCCAGGGACAGAAGAACCATGGGCAGAACAGATGCCCATTCAGCCCAGCCAGGATCCTCACAAGGAACAAAAACCAGATGAACAGAGAAGAGTATCCTTGCTTCTAAGTGATTAGCTAGCACAGATTTTCATTTTAGGATCTTCCTGAGGTGGTTTCACTCTTACTAAATATCTTCCTTGAACTTACCTAAATTTAGCTCAAATTGGTATATGCTATTAGTATACAGCACCCTGTGACAAGGAATTCTACACTTCAGTTTTCTGACAGTCAAACAACTACCTTCTTCCATCTATTCTAACCCCTGCTTGCTTTATTTGGTGCCACTCACCCATACTCAWGAAAAGGAACTCAATGCATTCCAGCTTCTCTTTGGCATGTTGGTCCTTTTCCAGTCACATCTTTTACAGACTGGCCACTCCTTGCCTACTCAGTTTTTCTTTAGACAGGAGCCATTGCAGCCCTCTGATGAACCTCATTCCCCTTCTCTRCACCTTCACCTGCTCCTTTTGAAGATGCAAGACCAGATCTGCATGTTATTCACACCAACCCTGGCCTATACACAGCAATGTTCTCTATTCTGTTCTGGATACTTTGCTTTTGGGGWGGAGGTTGTTTTGGATTTGCCCACTCCTCAGTAATGAGCTGATGATTTCATGACCTTAAGACWTTGTTCCACAGCAGTAACAATCAATGCAAGAGCTCATTGTGYTGCATATGAAACTCAAATTATTTTCCCTATACATCATCACATTTACCTCTGCTGAGCCAGATTAAGCCAAAAATGCAAAGTCATGCAACTGTTAACTAATGTGATAATAATCACTTCGTAATGTCATGCTACAATCCCAAAAAAATATTCCAAGCATGAGATTTTACTTGCTTTCCACATTTTGCAAGTAATTGTACTGACTCTGTAATGTTGTGTTTAAAAACTCCATTTTACTTTAATTGTACCCAAATTCTCAATATAACCACTAGTTTAATTTAACTACGGTGTGATTAAATGTGCCATGAATAAGAATGCAWCTTAAATCAAGTTTGGATTTGACACCCTTTATCTTAGTTGGATATTATTCCTCTTTTGTGGTGAGAGAGAGGATATAAGAAATGAGAAAAAACGCCTTCCATAAAACAGTCCATTTGAAAAGARTTTTCTGCTTTTGAGCACAGTATCTTGAAGAGCACCAGTTCTGTATCAATGCCAGGGCTTTGCACCTTTACCATGGGCACAGCAAGCACTGCAATCCACGGAAAGCCACTGCAGACTGGAGATGGTTGACACTAAAACTGAGCAGTTTCTTCACCAAGTTGTGATTTCTAAAGAAGTCTCTAAAACTGGGCTGTGAGGCACCTCCAAGCCATAGCAGAGCACTAATTCAGCATGTTTTTATGCTTCAGGGAGCTCCCATGAGGAATGAATTTCACAGTAAATGTCACAACCAGGAAACCGGGAAACTGCCACACGTATAACAAGCACCAGTAATGGTGCCAGGTACAGAAAAAAGACTTTAACACAGCAAATTAAACAAAATTCCTGCCATAAGGTTTCTTATTTCAAAGACAATGAGATGTAATGATTTCTGTGCTGTTTTACTGAAAAAGTCATGTTTCAGGAGACATCCAGAGAAACATGAGATGCACACTGAGAAAGAGAAAATAAAAAGAACAGTACTGTAGGGCAGGGGAGGCAGGCAAGGGGTAAACAGAGGTAAGCAGAGGATTTTTAAGATTTTAGAAGACAGACCAAATTTAACAAGGGAGACCAAAGCCAGCATCAGAGGCTGGATGAACAGGAGGCAGATAGAGGTCAGTCGTGTCTAAAAGCAGCTGCATGTGTATTTCTTCCACATGGCCTGGTCAGGAAGTTATGGAACTTGGAAAACTTCACTGCAAACAACTTCAGAGGCATGCTAATCCCTACCTAATTCATCATGCTGCCTGGAAAGTCCCTTTCTCTATCCCTCTTCCCACTTCAGGAGCATCATGCAAGAATTCTCACTGCTGCTGCATGAGCCTTTACTCTGAAGGATCTCCAATGCATCAGTCTGGAAAGATCCACGCAATGCTGAATGACAGAACATTTTAAACAGTATGAGTCTGGGGCAAAGTCATTGGCAAAATCACTCAATCACTCCTCACACRGGTGTGATCTACAGTAGCCAATAGTCTCTGCCCAGGGACTTCAAGACCACCTTATCAGACACTTGCAAAAAATCTCCAGGAATTTGAATYGGAAAAATCTGTATTACAGTATTTTCAGAGAAAAATTACACAGAGAATGTATATTCCTCAATGCATATGCTGGCTTAAAATAAACTCTCACATAATGATTTCAAAAAGATCTGATTTTTGTCTAATAGGGCCTCTAGTTCCCACTCTAGAAATTGGAAATAGTTTCCTTTCCACACTGAGTCTCATTTCTCTTATTAGCCTAGCCCAGCTGCAGATAAAGCATATTCAGCTCAGCTCTTGCAGTGACATTCCAGGCTAATGCAGCTCCAAGCCCTGGGACACAGAGTGTGTGCCCAACAATGTGAGTGCCACCCTGGCCCCGTGTGCCTCTGCTATGGCTGTACAAGATGGGCCTCTCCTGGTGAGGAGCTTGTGCTCCAAACACCTGCTCCACTGGCCCTGGCTGAGCACAACCCCAGCCACAGCACCACACAACTCACYTGAAAAGGAACTAAAGCCTGAGGCAGGATTAAGGGGAGGACAAACCAGAGAGAATCACAGCGCTCAAGTGAAGTCCTTACCTCAAACAGTGTCAGATTTTCATCGTTCAAGACGGTTCTGGGAGGTGCAACAACTGAAGTTAAAAAATAAATTATAAAACAGGACCACCCAGCAACCAGAACAGCAAATACAGGTAGGGGAGGGATCCCTGCTCTCTGGAGAGGTGACAGGTTCATATGCCCACAGAACTTAGGCAGAAGCACAACATGGCTAAGGGAGCAAGTTAYACTTCTTTGCACTGTAAAACTGGTTTTAGGGAAAGGATTTCCTTCCCAGGTCATATGTCAGGCATCAAGAAACCACAGCTACAAACAGGCTTTGTAAAGTAAGGCCAAATATTACAAACAGCACTCACACAAGTAAAATGGCAACTCTGCATCAGCAAGGTGGCTTCTTACAAAGTCTCTCAAAATGCCAACTGTGGAAAAAGGAGAGAAAGGTTTGCTGAATTACATTTGGTTCTTCAAATACTGGGCAAGAAGGTTAACTTATAACAGCAGAGCTGCCCTCTACAAGGTATGGAGACTGCCTTTTCCTCCAAAGTACACAGTTGCTATTACAAGTATTTTGTAGAAAACACAAACAAAACACCACTTTGACATGCTGGTCCCTTGGAAAAATCTAAGGTTGCCCAAAAAATAATCAAACAATTTGTGCAGGTAACCATGGCTGAAAGCTGAGAATAAGAGGATCCAGTAGTAACAGTAAGAGATACTTGATGCATGGTCTGATTGCCTTTTGTGAACTGACAGAGCCAGAAAAGGTCATCCTCTCACTACAGTTGGTGAAGCTTTTTTTTCTCCTTCCTGTTTTTTGGGGTTTGTTTTGGATTGGAGAAGGGGACATTGTTTTTCACCCCCAAAACGTTTTAAGCATTAACACAGAGGAAGTGTCCAAATGCATTCCAGTAACACATCATTTAGACACAACAAGGGAGTAGCAAGGGTGAGCTTCCTGAGCACAGGTATTTTGCCATGTCCACCAAGAAGCCCTTAGCTACATTAATTAGCCCAGAGTCTCTTCTTATTCCATTCAGGGGCCCTACAGAACAGTGTAACTACCTAATGCTGCTTTRGCAGAGCAGCTTGGCTTTCCTGGGCAGCAGCAAGAGCTGCTCAGACACATTCTCTCCTGTCAGGGTGGGAGCCACGAGCCASAGCTGCACAGGCTGAAGAGGGGATCAGTCTTACCAGTTTCACTGGGATGGAAGAACCCCTGCAGAACATGACGGTCTGGAAAATAAACTCTCAACACCACCTAAAAGAGAGACAAAGCCCATTAGGACAGTGGTTTATCACTGGTCTGTAACACTTATCCTTGGCTCAGAATCTAGGCAAGTTGTTTTTTGTGGGTATTTTTTAATGGGGAGGTCTGAGGTATTTCCAGGAACAGCAGAGCAAGCTGGCTAACACAGCTGTGCAGCTTCTCAGGGAACAAGGGCTGTCTGGCTGTCAAAGGGGCACAAGGGCTCATCTGTCAAAGCACTAGGATGTAAAACACAGCATCACCCACTCAAAGAGTAGGAGCTCCCTGTGCTAAATGTACAAACAACAAAGACAGTCCCTCTGGACAGGTATTGAGAGTTTACTGSCATCCTAATGGGTCCACAGCAGTAGGAATCCTCCTGACGTTCCTCTGACCTTTGTTTTTTCCAGCTTGGTCAGAAAGCACTTAAGAACTACATAAGGATCAYATTTACTGAGCAAAATAAATCCAACTTGTAATAGCAAATCCTTAAACTTTTAATGAGTTTCCAGCAAAACATCTACTGAGGAGAGGCAGGTAGGAAAGCTCAGTCATATAGACTGATGTGTGCCTAACAAAGGTTTTGAGAGATCTGGAAGAGAACAGAAGCAACAAACTGCCTTTCACTCAACTGTATTACAGTACAGCTGTTTTCACAAGGCACAACTGTTATGCAAGTCCCACAAACAATTAACAAGGATGGGGATTTGAAAAATCTTCCTGTAGGTAGCTCAAGAGCCTGTTGAACACAACTGAACTCCAAGATACTCAGTCCCCAAGTCTGGACCAACCAGGGGGACTGGAAAATGAACAAAAATTACCTTTGGGTAACGCTCCAACTTCTCCTTCAGCTGGGACATCCTCAAAGACTTCGTCATCAGTGGAGCTTCTTCCAGACGTTTCCTACACACATGGGAAGAAGGCAAGTTGTCTGTAGTTTTAAGATGCATTTTTATTTTATTAGGATAGTGCAAGGCCCAAGCAGGGCTGATGAGAACTGCTCAACTATTCCATGCGTCTCTTACACCCTTTTCCCCACCTCCTGAAACTGCTGAGCATCAGCAACAATACTGTACAAAATTACGTTTATTGTACAAGTTTAAAAGCAAGTTCACAACAGCAGCAGAGATCCTAAGAACAGGAGGGTAAAGCCTGCTTAGACTACTCAAGAAGAGATGGACTTACTGATTCCATAAAGCAGAGACTAAGGTTGGACATGATTACTCCACAGGAGCAGAAGAGTTACTGAACTTGAAAAACAATACTGGYGCAAGATATTAATAAGTATTAATAAGCAACAGGGAAACCAAATGAAAATGAAAAGTTTCAGATCATTCAAGAATTGGCACGGYAGACTGCTATTGAAAGCAACAGTGGGTACAAAATAAAAGTCTACTGGTATTTAAGATGAAACGATAAATGAAAGAAAATAATTACATATTTTCCAATAAGTAAAGAAATTAGCTTAGACCAAACAGATCCCATGTTCAACTTTAGTACCTTTTCTTTGTATCTGAATAACTGATGTGTAACTTGCCTTTATTTTTATCCCTGGCTGTAAGGGGAAAAGTACCAGCAAATTTAGAAATTGGGTCTTTTTTTTACAGGCCTGTATTCCAGTAATCCCCAACCAAATGACTCTACATTTGTACCACTACATAGTTCAGACCCACACAAGCAGCAGAGCAATTTTCAGGCCATTTTCTGTGTACACATGTGGATTTCAGTGGCCTGTGGGAAAAAAATCAACTCTAAGTAAAAAGTTCAACTTGGACTTGGCTATAGTATAAAAGAAACTATTCCACAGTCTTGGAGAATAATTGTAATCTTTAAAGAAATGCTTTGACCCACTTGAAACTAAATACATTCACAAAATTAATTTCTTTAAGGATCATACAGACAGCGAAATGCTGCTGTGACAGGAAGGCCAGTTTATCTTAATCTGAGTTTTTAGTGAACTGAAGTTCAACAAAGTAAAATCATGAATATTTGAAAGCAAGCTACTTGAACAGTGCAGCACACTGCTACTCAACTTCCTGTAATTCCTCTGGGGGTGTGCATGTGCACCTGTTCCAAACATTCTCAGCTCTTGACTTGTGGCTAAATTTGATTTTGCTTTATTTCTGTTTAGGTAATGTCTCAAARTAGGTCTTTCTAATGAGGTCTAATAAAAGGTTAATTCTGTTATTTAAAATATAAGGTGCTTCTTACTGGCCAAAAATGCAACAAGCTCTGCTGATCAGTGTCACTCTGCTCAAAAGCAGGACACAGCAGAAAGGGAACTTGCCTCTCACTCTGCAGCTGTGCCAATCGTTTCCGTACATCATCCACCGTGACTTCAAAAAACTCATCAGGAATCTCCTCCGGCCCATCAGGAAGTTGTTCCAGTAGGTCGAGGTGGCACACAAGGGGCTCACGTTCTACAAGCTACAGAATAAAAAATGAGCTTCAATTCATTGTAAATGCATTGCTTTGCTTATCCTATAAGGTTCCTGAAAAAGAGCAGAAAGACAGTATTTGCAAACTGAAATGCAATCACTGGTGTGCAATTCCTGTCACTAAGATCAGACAAATGATAGAGAGGTTGTCAGGGCTGACATTTTGTACAGAGGACACAGCKTTGGACACAATGCCTGCCAAAGGCAGCAGAAATCAATGTTGCCAGGTGAGCAGCTGGCTCCTCTCCACTGTCACTACAGGAAACTCAGGGGAACAGCTTCACCAGCCACCCAAGGCAAGGAGAAAGAACTCCTTCCCAGGGAGTGACTGTGCAATCTCCACACTTATGCTAGTACGCTATTGTGCACTTGAACCACGCCTCCAGCTATTTGCAAGCCTGTTGTATTCAGAAATTACTCCTGTCCCAAAACCCTACCTGACCTCTCTCTGCTCTACTCCAAACCTCTCTCACTATCTAATCATTTTCTTACCGTTCTACAGGCAGCACTCAATKAACATGGGTGCTGTACTTCATTCTGCAGATTATCCAGCCCTTTGCAATTTGCCATCTGCTGCCGTGCACTCCTGTCCCTTCATTCCCTCATACACTCTTTTCCAATCCTAATTAACACCGAATGTCCATCCCTCCCTCCACTCTCCCCTCCCCCAGGCACTGGCCACTTGGGAACAGGAGTCTTCTCAATTGTCTAAAGCACAGCACAAATTACAAGGCAATGTTCACTCTACTTGTGGGCACTAAAGGGTAATTTGAGAAATTAAAAGATGGAGGTTGTGTGGGTGGGACCTTTCGCTACTTTTAGAAAAGTTGAGCAAGGTCAGCCCTAACGAGCGGGTGAAGGATTGTGATTGCAGTGATTGCAGTGATTGCAGCTTTGCCGGCCCAGAGCGGGCTGGGGGTGCCCAGGATGCTGCAGCAAGGACCCCAAACACCCAGGAGCATCTGCTGGGAAGGAGCAGGATACACCAGAATCCCAACCACTGCCCATTGCTGCTCCAGTGGGGGCACATCTGTGTCACAGGAGATTCATCAGGTACCCAATAACCAGRTATCTCCTAACAGGCTTGAGCTTCATTTCATTCTGAACATGTAGTGAAAGCAGACGTCTTCTCAAAAAACCCAAACCCAAAAGACTGAGSAGGTATTTCCTGTGGCATGTTGTGAACGGTGCTGGGATACAATGGAGAGAACTCTAAAATCTGCATTGGCAAATCCCAAAGTTACCATTCAGCACTGGCTCTAACAAGCACCTTAGCTAATCCCAGCAGCAGAGGGCTTTGACAGGGAAAGCACCCATCCCCACCTGAATTATGGTGACAGCTAAAGGCATCTGCCAAGGCATTGGGAATCACAAGATGGCACAAGGCAGACATACATTCCAGTCCTACATGTCACTCCACTTCCTTGCTGTGGGCTCCAACAATCCTCAAACGCAGACAGAATCCAAAAACTAACTTCCCACAATGATTACAGAAGAGGCTCCAGAACACCAGCCCAGTTCCCAGAGCACTGCACGTGCAGCGTTTCCTGCAGCTGATGAAAGATAAGCAACTCCTGTACCAACAAATGGCCACCCCACCGATGTTCTACRTTTCCTCATGTAAATTGGAGTAACGAAAGCTGTGGATTTTGCTGTCCTATCTGTTCCAGGAGCCAAAGATGCTGTGCTAAGGTTTGGCACCTTCCGTCCTCAAAGTCTASGATTCTACCAAAGCCGAGATGCACTTTTCATCATCAGGATGAAGCCACATGTTCACAGCAGCATTTACGTAAATGCAGTTTATGTGACAAAGCCAGATGACAGGAGGAACGCAGTTCACTTTGTGGTCACCATCCCGGACCCACGGAAGCAGGTAAGCTGAAGAAAACTCTTATKATTTAAGTGCAATAGTGGCTATTGTGCTTTCCACAGCAGCAAGCTCTTCCAAGAGACCCAGCTCCTACCCACCACCTCTGAGAGYTCTAATCTCACGGTGAATCTGGTGTAAAGTTACCTTCCAATAATTAGCATTCTGACATCAAAGTCAGCACGCAGCTGTCTGTAAACCATCTTTAGCCCAAGAAATGAAGGGATGCCAGCACAGATTTTATCCAGCCTCTCTTCAGCTTCAAAAACCACACACAGGCAAAGCATTAATGGGAAGATTCTTTTACAAAAATGGACCTTTGATGTTTAAAAATAATTGTTTTGTTTTGGTTTTTTTTTCCTCAAGACTGCAAAGGGACAAAACGCAGATGCCATGTGGCTAGCCCTGCTTGGCTGTTGCTGCTGGGAGGAGAGTGGAGGATGGCAGGAATGGAGGAGGGAACAAAATGTAATCAATCAGCAGCAAAAGTACCAGAGATCAAAGGGCTTGAAAGCAGCCGTCAAAATCACATGCTGTTTAACACAAGGACACAACCCCCCCGAAAGAATCTGCAGCTGCTTCAAAAGCTGCTCTCAGACTGGAAGGGCGGCTGGCTCCAGAAGTGGTTTGAACTGGACTGCAATTCTGAGAAAGACATCGGTTCATGTGAGTCCTTCAGTCACCACCACTCAGCACATGCCCAAAAGCCCAGCTCCACATTAGGCTGTGAAATCAGTGAAATGATGGAGCTCTGCCTCTCCCACCAATGCACAAAAAGTGTGGGCAACAAGACTGGTGAAGAATACCACCCCAAASCCTTGCACTTCTCCTCCCTTCCCAGACACAATGGAAACTCCTTCTCTCCAAATCCCTCATAGATGAAAGTGTGACTGAAGCAAAAAACACAAGAGCCTGGACAAATCACCCAGCCTACTGTTTAATTCTCCATGCTCAGGGTCTGCTCCAAAAGGTTAAATAATACTGATTAGACAGACCCAAACGTGTTTCTAATATACTGAAATATTTACCACTGCAGGTTGGCAAGACCTCTTTCTGCTACTTGTGCAGTTTGTAACTGCTCCAGAGTCCTTCCAGGTCTGGCTTCTGTTCCTAAACACTTCAGAACTCATCAAAAATGGACTGCAACCACAAGGTCAACCAAGGTGGAATCTCTACATCASCATGAAAGCATCCAGAGTCTTGCTGAACTCCTCCTGGACTAAGCTCCCTTTGAAGCTCCCCAGACATCCTTTCCTTCTACYTATAACTTTCTACTGTTCTATCCTGGCTGGATCAGAACCAAAGATTCAAACCTCCAGCTCCAGGAGGTACCAAAGAATAGGAAACAACACGTGATCTCTGAACATGAAAGCTGGCCCCAGTGATAAGCCAAAGGAGCAAGGAAAGAGGCAGTCACTGAGAATCCAGAATGGGAAATTCTCAGTGCATAAAAACAAGGGCTGAGTTATTAACTGAATGGCTCCTATACTGCACGTTACACTACTTTCAGACACATCCAGCCTTGCTGAAGGCATTCAATTCCWTACAGCTGTCCTACAGAAAGCACACTTCACATTGTTCCCAGGTCACTCTGGGATGGAATCACAGCACTCTTCACCCATCAGTTCTGCAATCTCTACATGGGCTGAAGCACTTTTAATTTCCATAAACACAGTTTTACTTCAGAGACACCAACAATGGTGAGRTGTGCAATTCATCTTTCTGGAAAATAGAGAGAGGCAGACTATTTAAGAAGCAAGATATTTTACATTAAGACAGAAAACACTTCTATAAGCAAACAAAAATAGAGAAGGATGAAGTGTTTCTGCTTCATCTGCAATACTAAGAAAATTAAGTCACAGCGCTCAGGTAMCAAAGTGGGTATTTGCTCATGAAATCTGAGGCACTGAGGTGTATGATCTTCTGGACTGTGATTTAATGCAGCTGTGTTGCCTCTGTTTGAATTATTTATCAAGGATACCTAAAGATTCAAAGTTTTGTTTGCCGCTGGACAGCAAATCCTTAAACTCACATCCTTCCTTTTTCCTACCTCCTTTCTGAACTCAGGCAGAACTGTAATGTCASCAGGGCACCTAATCCTACGACATGGGGAAAACATCTTTCATTTGGAAACATCTTTTTCCTCATGAGAGTGTAGGATTAAAAAAAGGCCTCGTTGCCCAAACTGAAAACACATTTTCCCTTACCTGTTCTTGATGCTTTTGCAGTTCTTGGCTGTTCTTAGACTTCTTTGGCTTAGAAGGGCCTCCAGGACTGGAAGAAGTTGTTGGCAGTTTTGAAGATGGTACAGCTACAGGAGAGTGCCCCATATGCTCTCCATCTCCAAAAAAAGGAACRAATGGGGTAGGCTCAGGCTCTGGGGAAAGCCGTGGCTCCTCCAGGCTAGCATGAGATTCTTCAATCGAGTCTTGCTTCTGTGTGCAGCTGTTGAAGGATGTGGCCACATCCCTGTGGTCCAGGTCCTTTGGGAATGTGTTTGCTTGAGGTAGGGTCACATCCACTGCTTCTCCCACACAGCCTGACCTCACCGTTGGCTCATTACARGGCACCTTGGCACTCACAGCTTCCTCCCCACCAGACACACTGCATTTCTTCATGACAACTCTTAAAGACACCAAAAGGAATAAAAATAAAATCATAATCCTAAGAGTACTGCCCTCCCCATTCTCAAGGTGTCCCCGACACAAAGACAACAGCTGACTCAAATACACCCCTGATTTAGCAACTTCTTCCAGATGCTTGCAGAGCATAAGCTCCAGTTGCTTCAAGTGAGGGGTAGAAGATCATATTTGCAAAATAACAGAACAGGAACCCACTCCTCCAGAAGAAAACTGCCTTCCAGAGAAAAACAGCGTCAGTTGTAAAGCACAGTTTCTATTCACTCCTGCCTTCTGTATATATTGCAAGAAGCTGTCCAGGAGATCACAGAAAGGCTGTCCCTGTCCCCAGCTCACCCCTCAACTGCCAGCAGGGCCTGCAGGGGCTGGGAGTTCACTGCCTGACATCCAGAGCAGGCAAGAATAAAGTGGCAGCTGATTGCCCTCTCAGAGAGACATTTAACTGTGAATTGCTGGTCCACTCAAATGAGGAATAAAC